CGGAGGGGGAGAGAGAGGGAGGTGGAGGGCGAGCGAGCGGGGGGCGGAGGGCGAGCGAGAGTGTGTGAGAGCACTGCAAGGTAAGAATGGCCGCCGCCTGTCCGCCATGTTGAGAAGACTCACCATCTGGAATATGAAGGTGATGGTTCCGCAGATTCGCACGGCTTTGCTGAACCGTAGCTCCAGGTACTGCGGGTGGGAGACACAGACAGACATGTCAGAAAAGGTTCGGTGATCTTCTTAAATTTGCCTTAAAGCCTAAAGAGACCCTGTCACGGCTCTAAATAAAGGATAAGAGAGGTTCCCATTAAGGGAAGGAGGTTAAATATTCACCTACCCGGCAGCCTGGAGACAATACTGGAGACTCCCATCTACATCCGGCACTGCAGTCTCCATCAGGGTCTCCAGCATTGGAGGTGCAGATGGCTGGCTGGCTGTCCCCCCCCCCACCATGTACAATGGTTCCTTCCTTCAGGTTGCTGGGGAGACTTTTTAGAGAGATGACAGGGTCCCTTTACCAGGCTGGGAATCTCACATTGAGCTGAAGATGATCAATGATCGCACTGCGGATAGCTACAGCTTAAACGTCTCTGAGGCCTGGCCTGCCTCAGATAACGGTTCTGAAGTGCAGGGACTGGTTTCTACGTCACATTGGGGGCCCCATTGATCGCAGGGCCTAGGATGTACCCTCAAATTAAAGTTCAGCTTGGGCACTGCTCTCTCTCTCCCAATACCCGAGACTCAGCGGGAAAGGAATGACTGCAGGATATGCGTCTGGAAGGGGCGATGCTCAATGAACAAAGTCCAGGCTCCGTGTACAGCCAGGCCGGCTCCCGGGGGACACAGGAACCCTTCACTAGATCAGCACATGTCACCAACAGGCACCAGAAGGTGATGAACTTCACCACTATTACCTTTAGCTCCCTTTAAAACAGAACTCCGGGCAAAGCAACTCCTAACCCTTGCAGTGGGGCTACCCGGCAATGTGAGGGGTTAGTGCTCGTTTTGGTCTAGGTGCTCACCCGATCCTTGGAGAGGGCTCGCTTATAGACCAGTCCCTGGATCCCATCTCCCCCTCCAATGCAGCGGTCGAAGAATCATTAAATTCTATACACAGTGTATAGGACGCAAGACCGCCGAGGTACATACCATCGCTGCAGCGGAGGGGTACACAGGCTGCAGGAACTGATGCAGCGGCCAGCCGGCTCAGGCGACTAACTTTTTGTGTTTTGTTTATTAGCGCCCCCAGACACAAACGAGCACTGAACCCCTGCAGTGTCGGCGTAGCCCCCCCGGAGTAGCTGCTTTTTTTTATGTTGAACAAAATGTTTATGAAATTAATATTTTTAGCCCGTGCAGTGATGCAATTATTTTTTATTTCACTGCTGGGTTCTCTTTATGGTGACATCAGAGGTCTAACAGACCTCCGATGTCACTCCTGCCCTCCAATACAGGGGATCGAGCACAGGATTGTAACCGGCACTTCAGCCGCCTTCTCCCCGCTGTGAAGCAGGAAGCGCTGAGAGCACATGGTTTCCCGTGTCACTGATCACAGAGCAGATTCTCTCCCCATCCTGAACTACTGTGCCATGGGTCCCCCCAAAAGAGGGGAGCCGAAAACCATGGTGTGGGGAGAGAGGCAGCCGATGGTGTGGGCGGACCAGCAGGCTTGGCATAGTCAACATCACTTGTACTAAACAAGCGGTGGCTTCCCCCGCTCTACATGTCGCCCCGCTTGTCTGAAGCAGGTCTAAATGTGGAGAAAAAAAAAATAAAAAAAATACCCGCCCGGCGTCCGGAACTGCATGTCCCGGGCGTCGGGCGAAAACAAATTCCACACCCCTACCTAGGCTCGTGTGCCACCAGAGGGGCCTCTGCGTGCCATTAGTTTGCCATCGCTGCCTAAGCCCTCATTCACACTAGTTACAGCTCTGTGCACGGCTGTACCGAGCATCTCCCGGGAAGGACGGGTGCCGAGTGTGATCAGTACGCAGCGGCCGTACGCCGCCCTACGCTCCCCCGCCCTGCACGTCTGTGCGGGTGAGCGTACTCGTACGCCGACAGGATGGATCATGTCTGCGTCCGAGCCAGGAAACCCGCACGGACCTGCACTTGGGGTGAGCGTAGGGCGGCGTACGGCCGCGTAGTCCAATAGAGAAGGATGGGGGCTGCGTACTGATCACACTCGGCACCCGTCCTTCCCGGGAGCTGCTTGGTACGGCCCTGCACGGAGCTGTACGTGCCGGACGATTCCTGTGTGAATGAGGGCTTAGAGTTTGCCGAGTCCAAGCGCTGAGGGCATCTAATGTACAATGATCGGTCACATGAGCTTTCAAAGCGAGCCGGGGCCGGACCGCGGACATCAAAGCCGAAGTTTAATCTGTTTGTTGGCTTCTTGATTTCACATCAAACAAAAAATTAAACAAAGTCTTTGTAATCCAAAAACCTCCCAGAAGTCCACTTCATGGGACTTGACCCTTTCCCTGACGAGGCCTTAATTGCTTTTTTTTTTGGCAAATTTTTATGTCTCACGAAATTAGCGCAGCTGTTTATCAAACCCCAAAATTTAGTAACAAAACGCATCAAACAGCATCAGAGGTACTTTATTTAAAGGGGCTTTGGGGAAATATTGGGGATCTAAACCTCTGATACTTCCCTTTTATAATAGAAAAAGAGATTGAGGACACAGAGCCCTCGGAGACACACACAGCCCTCAATCTATTTTTCTGCAGCCTCCTGTTACTGAGCCCCTATACCGAGTGTTCCTGATCATTCATAACATGAGGACAGAGTATGTTTACTATATCAACAATCATGAATGAACAGGAAGTGATGTAGATCACTTCCCATTCATTCATAATTGAGGATACAGTAACCACACTCCGTCCTCAATTATGTACAAACACTCAGCGATCACTAATCACTGACTGCTTGTACACGCTCTTCTCTCTGACACGCGGTCACAGGAGGCTGAGCGAGCGGTGCGGGAGGAGAGCTCCATCTGACAGCTGACTCCTCCCCCCTGCCGGCCTCCTGTGACAACGCTGGCTGTGTCGGCCCACACCACTCTCCTCCGATCTGTGACAGGAGGCTAAGCGCTGTGGGGAGGAGAGATGCTGGCCACTCCCAGCACTCGGCCTCCTGTGACATCGCTGGCTGTCTTCGCCCACACTGCTCTCTCCAATATGTCACAGGAGGCTGAGCGAGCGGTGCTCAGCCTCCTGTGACAGCACGGGCTGTCTCCACCCCCACACCGCTCTGCCGGACTGTGATAGGAGGCTGAGCTGTGTGGGAGGAGAGACGCCGGCCGCTCACAGCGCACTCCTCCTGCTCGGCAGGCTGTCACTTTCTCTCCTCCCCGCTGGCGGGGAGGACAGAACAGGATGCGCCAATGTATCGGACAGAAAATGGCGCTGTCGGCATTATTCGTGCCATGAAAGTGTAAGTGGTGATTAAATACCACCAAAAGAAAGCTCTATGTGTCCCCAAAAAAATGGTATAAAATTTATTTCAGAACAGCGTTGCATGACGGAATAAATGTCAGCCAAAGTACCGCAGCGCTGAATACTGAACATTGGCCGGGACAGGAAGGGGGGGGGGCACACACACACACACACACACACAGAGGTCAGCAAGTGGTTAAACTTTTTTTTTTTACTTTATTGCTATTGCATAAGCCGGCTTAGAAGCATACCAATGGAGGCACTCGCAGAACATAAGGCCCCCCCCCACCCCCAGCATTCTGAGCAGTCCAGAGGTGTGAAGCAAGCATGGATAACAGTCGGAACCATATTGTAGCATTGATTTATGTAAAAATATGTGAGGTTTTAATATCACTTTAACTCTTGCAGTGCTGGGGGGGTAGCCCCACTGCAAAGGCTAATAATGCAAACCTAGGCCTCTGTCACACTTGCACTTCTATAGCTGGCAAGAATTGGGCAGCGATAAGATCATTAAAATGCGCAGACGAAACACTTACCTGCTTCTATGCGTCACTTCCTTGGTGCAGGCGAGCGTTTCATTGCTCTGCCGAGTCCTTCATAGAGATCCTGCCTCCGGCAACAGACTTGCAAGTGAGACGCGGGTGGTACGGTTGGATTCACTCCCTTCTGTAGGGCGTTTTAATGCTTTTACAGCAAGAACATGCCTCCCATTGCCAATATTAGGCCATGCAATATGCATCAATTAGGGATGCACCGATACCGACACTAGTAGTGGTGCCGATAGAGTATTTGGGCAAGTACACGTACTCGCCCAAATGCTCCCAATGCCTATCCCGATAACGGAACTTCCGGTATCAGAAAGCCTGGTGGGGATTCATTACATGCTGCCCGGTTTCCTGATTGGCTGGGAAGCCAGCTTCATGCTCCCCGGTGACGGGAGCATGGTGGCGGCTTCCCGGCCAATCAGGAAGCAGGTAATGACTCGTCCCCAGGCTTCTTGATTGGCCGGGAAGCCAGCTCCATCGTCACTTTGTAACAAGGGAGCATTTGAGATGGCTTCCCGGCCAATCAGGAAGCGAGACGGCGAGTCATTACCCGCCTTCTTGATTGGCCAGAAAGCTGGCTCCATGCTCCCTCCTCACCTGGTGAGGAGGGAGCATGGAGCTGGCTTTCCGGCCAATCAGGGAGCCGTCTAATGACTCGCCGCCTGGCTTACTGATTGGCCAGCTTCTCGATCAGTAAGCCGGGCAGCAAGTCCTTAGACACCCCCGGCTTTCCGATTGGCCAGAAAGCCGGCTCCGTGTTTTGTCACCTGGTGACAAGGGAGCATGGAGACGGCTTCCCTGCTAATCGGAAAGTCGCGGGGCAAGTCATTACACGCCGCCCGGCTTCCTTAATGTGACTTCCGGTATCGGCGAATACCGGGAAGAAAATATCGGCATCCCTAGCATCAATGGATAAAAAAATAGCCAAAATAGCATCTAACTGATATGAACGTGCACAATGGGGAACCGCTAAACACATGCATTAAAAAGTTAAACACATTGGGGGGAATTTATCAAAACTGGAGCAGACAAAATCTGGAGCAGTCGCCCATGGCAACCAACCAATCAGCTTCTCTCTTCAGTTTGCTCAGATAAGATTTGAAAATGAAAACAAAAGATGCTGATTGGTTGCCGTGCACAGCTGCTCCAGATTTTGTCTGCTCCAGTCTTGATCAATTCCCCCCCCATGGAGTATTTCTTGTCACCTTACCTCATAGGTACTAGTAAGCCGCAACCGATAGAAAACTGGAATGAAGATGTACGCAGGAATCAGCAACCCGAGGATGTAGGAGCAGCCAAGGAACCAATACTCCGTCCCAAACCGATACATCTCCGACGGGACGCCAAGAATGGCCACGGCCGACTGGAATGTAGCCAGGAGAGACAAGGCTACCGGGAAGAAGCCCATGTTACGGTTGGCCAGCAGGAACTCCTGCGTGGTGCGCTGCTTTCCCCCGCTCAAGGCATAGTAGAGCCCGATGGCCGAGGACAGCACCAAGAGCAGCGCGAAGATAATGTAATCCACCGTGGTAAACTTCATGGCGGATACAAAAGATTGCAATACTAGCTACGCAGTCACGGGACCGTCTTGTTGGGTCTTTACAAAGTTCCAATACAAGTGCTACGTCTGCTCATGTTGGCTTCGAATTTCACCGTCCTCGCACTTTGTGTAGATGCGATCACAAGGTCCTCCTCTTCGGTTTCCAACAGTCATCTTGAAACATTTCTGCCGTGTGAAGGAACCGTTGTGGCATAGATGTCTAATCCCAGCTTAATCTTTCAGACCCTCGTAAACCTGTAAAAAAAACAAAAAACACAGAGGGAGATCAGATTTTAACCAGTTACAGTATAATAAAGTGGTTAATGCTTCAACCGCAAACACACTTACACAACCCCACAGAGACCGAAGTCTGAGAGCATAGTATGGCCAGGAAGAGTGTGCCACATGGTGGACAGAGGACAATTCCACATGGACTGTCCACTATGTGGCACACTCTTGTTGGCATCTGCCCATATGGGATTTTCTTGTTGGCCTCTGTCCACCATGTGGCACACTTTTTGGGCTCTGAGGCCAAAAGGAAAATTCCACACGGACAGAGGCCAAAAAAAGAGTGCCACATGGTGGACAGAGGCCATCAAGAAAATTCCACATGGTGGACAGAGGCCATCAAGAAAATTCCACATGGTGGACAGAGGCCAAAAAGGAGTGCGCCACACGCTGGACAGAGGCCAAAAAAAGAGTGTGCCACATGGTGGACAAAGCTCAAGAAGACCAGAAAAGGAAAAAAGGAAGGAACGCAACTGAAAATTGTTTCCTTCCCACATCAGTTTCCAACCAGGATCCCTCACAAGGAGCAAGACAGCCCCCCGACCCCTGTCACGCCACCCCCTCCCCCCCCCAACCAAACGGCGATACCCTGCGACCCGTTTAGAAGAATTTTCTGTTCTACTTCATACAGTTAGGACACCCCAGTCTAACAATATAAGGAGCCGCACACCGGCCACATCACACCACACCACCCTAGGAGTGTGCTAACAAACCATTCTTCTTTTGCAACTTTCCACAGAGCTCAAGAAGAGCGCACCGCACGGTGGACAGAGCTCAAGAAGAGAACGCCGCGCGGTGGACAGAGCTCAAGAAGAGAACGCCGCGCGGTGGACAGAGCTCAAGAAGAGAAAGCCGCGCGGTGGACAGAGCTCAAGAAGAGAACGCCGCACGGTGGACAGAGCTCAAGAAGAGAACGCCGCACGGTGGACAGAGCTCAAGAAGAGCGGACAACTCGGTGGACAGAGCTCAAGATGAGCGGACAACACCCTTTCAAAATAAACTCAACCTTCAGCACCAACAAAAACCCAAAACCACATTGCTGGCCATGTCTCCTTGCTCTGCTCCAAGTTGATTGCTGAATATGACGTGACTCGTGGCTTAACAGATTATGTGGATTGGAGCGACATTCACCATATTTATTCCCAGATAATTATTTGTACAAGTCATTCTGAATTGAGAAAGCTGGTCGGATGACCAGTGAAACGGCTTCAAGAAATATACAGTACGTTCAGTTGCCGTGACTTATTTTTTACAGATATACCATGTGACCTGGATGAACGAGAACCTTCAAAGACATACAAGTGACTACTCCTCAACATGCAACAGCAGCTGAAACATTTGGATAGAATTGTGAAGATCTCAAAACCTCTGTCAGGCTGTTACGGATATCCGTACCCTATTTAGAAATACCTTCCTGTCTGGTTGGACACCGTCAACTGGACACGAAGTGAGGGGGACACTAATAAAAACCTAAAGATAAGTTCTAACTTTCCCACATACTAGCTGAAAATTTCTTGAAGTCCACTTACTTCATTTTCACTCCATTTGCTTCTGTTTGGGCCTGTGCAGATGGGTTCACGTCAAAACCGCTTCTCGCCACATACAAGCCAATGAGAATGTAAAGAAGCAGCTTGATATGGCTTAGGAGGAGGTCAACTGCAGGTCAAAAACACCCATTAATGACCCGACAATGATCTCAGAAGTATCTAAAACGGATATCCAATTCCAGCAGAATGCACCCGATGCCACAGACTAGATTTGGACCCACACTGAAGCCGATTAGAAGCCAAAAGGTCAGTAGAACATCGGGAGGAGCTCGGTTCCATCTTTCTGGGGGCAAAAACATAAAATCAGATTCAGCCTCCATGGCCAGACTAAACCTCGTTTATCTTAAATCGCTGCTCCCGATTCTTACAGCTCTCGTGTCCGTACACATGCCAGCAACACAAGACAACCTTGGGAAGCACGTTGTATGCCAAGGAGGGGGAAAGGTCAGGAGACGGGCCCAGAAGACTGATGGCCTTCGGCACTTGGCACAAGCATCCCGTCCAATAAGCAATCTCTGCAATGCTTAAACCGACACTGAAAAAGCATTTCAACAACAAGCTGGATTAGAGTTTCTATATAGAAGCTGTTCAAGAAAAAAATAAACTAAGACGAATACCCCTAAAAACATAGATATCGCTCCAGGCCTGAGACCAACACATACCTAGCCCGTTCCTTCTCCACCCTTCCCCTCTCCATTATACCCCGTCCACGGTATCCCTCCCTATGCCCACTGCGCATCCTTGTCTACATGACTACCAGTGTAGCAATGTGAACCGTATACTATACCTGATCGAGCTGTACGTAAAAATAATGCTCTGCATACTGGGACCCACGGACCCATGCTAGTTGATTGACACATATTGGACCGACGATCTCATGTCATGCTACTTACCGATTTCAGAAACCGTGCAGCGCTTACACGATTTATATATGCATCTCTGCATTGGAGGAAATAACGTCATGGACTGTTGTGTATGTTTTGTTCTGTATGTTTTTTGTACCTCTGTTTCATGATATGTGAAAAACTCAAAAGAATATAAAAAAAACAAAAAACATAGATATAACTTGTAACCCCTAGACTGGTGGGCAGCTGCACTCAACCCTATGGAATGCTATCCCCCGAAAGGACAACTAGAACATTAAAAAAAACACATCAGCTGGACTGACTGGACCCCCCTATCCCAGACTAATAGCCTCCCTTGTCCCGACTCTTCCTTACATTGAATACATTGATTAGGTAACTAATTTTCTGTAGAGATCCGGACTCTTCAGCTTCTCTTTCTCCACACATTTATACAAGTTCACATTTTGACCATTCAGAGGACTACAGTGACTTGGATCTTACACTGCGCTCCCTTTCCTGCCAAAAGCAAGGGGGAGGGGGGGGGGCAGGGGAAAGATGAGCATGTGCTGCTGCGGAGAGGGGCATTAAAAAAAGAACCTGTTGCTTAGTCCTTCATGGGCAAAGCAATGGTTTGCTTTAAAAGGAGAACTATGAGGCGAGTGATTTTCACTCATCCTCATAGTTGGAGCCGACCTGTGACAATGAAACCGTCACATGTCGGCTCAATAGATCGGGAAGGGAACACATACCGTCGCTTGCTCACTTCTCGATCCTCTCCCTGCAGAGAGTAGTGACCATCAGTCTCCGCTCCCCGAAGGGATTCCCCCCTCCCCTCCGATCCTGCAGCGCTGACTAGAGGAACGGATGGGGGAGGGGGCGGGCACAGCTGGCTCCACCTCTAGATAGGCAGAGCCAGCTGTCACTCATACAGCTGGGTGGCCCTTAAAATTAATTTCGGGATCCGCTTCAGCTCCGGCGTCTCAGTATACCGCGAGCTGTAGCTCCCTATATACTGAGCTTAGGGTGACGGAGGATGCTAAGTTTGTGTCCTCCAGTTACCCTAAGGCCCCATTCACATCTAGCAACATATCTTTGCAGCGGCCGGGATAGCGCGACTTCTCGGGGCGACGTTCCAGCGACGGTAGCGCCACCTTCTCCTTCGTGCTCCATAGAAAAAAAGCAAAATCGTGCAAAATCCGCCGAAAAAAGGGTCCGGTAGAAGCGACTTGCGACCGCGACGAGCGACATGGAGCTAAGACAGCTCCATTGACTATCATTAGCCGGCAACTTCTCGCGATATCGCGCGGCAAAAAGGCGCGAAATCGCGCGATAAGTCGCTAGATGTGAACGGGCCTTAGGAGAACTATGGGGAAAAACACTTACCCCATAGTTCTCCTTTTAAAGTAGGGATGCACCGATACCGTTTTTTCAGTACCGATACTTTTTTTTTTCCCCCGGTACTTGCCGATACAAGAAGTCCCATTAAGGAAGCCGGGCAGCGTGAAATGACTCGCAGGCCGGGTTCCCGATTAGCCATCTCCAGTCTCCCTCGTCACCAGGCCAATTAGGAAGGGGGGCGGGTAATGACTCACTGCCTGGCTTCCTAATTGGCCGGGAAGTCAGCTACATGCTCCCCGGTGACTACTATGTCGCTCTGATGAAGGGTCCCTGCGAGGTCCCGAAACGCTAGCTTCAGCTTCTAATGACATGTCGTGACATTTTAATAAAAATATCCAAGAGATATTGAATTCATCTGTGTGTGCCGGTGAACTGTTGGACTATTCCGAGGCAGTGTATAATGACTCGCCGCCTGGCTTCCTGATACTGGAGGTTCCGCTATCAGGATGGGCATCGGGAGCATTTGGTGCGAGTAAGAGTACTCACCCAAATACTCGGTATTGGCACCAATACTGTTACTAGTTCTAGTACCCCCACGTGACAAGCCCGTCAAAGCATTGCTCCGGCATTGAGAGCCGACTAGTGGGAGGCAAGGTGGACCCCCAACACAAACTCAAGCAGCAGGGCAGCCTTAGCAAAGCAGGAGAAGACACCTTAAGGTCCCCAATACACAGCACAAAGTCCCCTACAAGAGATGGCGGCAGCCCTCGCGTTTGTTTCCTTTTATTTTGTTGTGCAGTTTACCAAACTATTGAGAACGGCCATTTAAAAAAGGAGAACTATGAGGTGAGGTGATTTTCACTCAGCCACAAAATCTGAGCCGACTTGTGACAATGAGACTGTCACAGGTCGGCTCAGTAGATCGGGAACACATACCGTCGCTCGCTCACTTCTCAATCTATCCGTGCAGAGAGCCGTGACTGTCACTCACGGCTCCCTGCAG